CGAATTGCGGCTAATCGCGGGGATCGGATTAGCGGGGGCCTAAAGGGGCGCGCTGATTGGGATTTGCATGGCTCATGAATTATGCACGGGCCGCTTTTAAAAGTCAATCCGCGCGCCGCGTCGCGCTGCAATTAGGATCCGCACGCGGGCGACCGCCGAGCGTCGATGACGGTCTCTCGGTCGGGGAAACGCGCGGCCTATCGATCGCCCACTTACGCGCCGAAACGGCCGCGTGTATGCGCGGGTTAAGGTTAAACCCCCGCGCGAGAGGGGAAAATGCGGTGCCCTTCGCGGCCGCCTCTTCTTCCGGCGCTGCTGACGTATAATCGCCGTCAGTGACGAACAATAGCATTCCCCGAAGGAAAATTGTTGCACAACCTTCTCAAAGGCCAAACTGATTAGTATCGTAACAAGAGAAACTTACGGAAAATTATATAAACTGATCGCTGTTAAAATTTAAAAATTTACATAGGATGTCTGTTGAAACCCAGAAAGAAAGAGTTCTAAGAATTCTCTGATTTTCAGATGGTTAAAAATTTTGGATAAAACGATTTTTAAACGCATCTTACAAATAAATATATATTGTTTATTGTGTCCTTAATATTTTCCATTCATAAAAATTTATAAAATAAAATTAGAATTACTCAATAATTAAATATGAAAAATTTTGAAAGAAACTATAAGGATCGTAATGAACATTTTATATTGCATAAAAAGCTTCAAAAGCTACAAACAGAAAATTATACAATGCATAAAAGGTACAAAATTCATCTTTTATAAAACTATTAAAATAAATATGCGTCCTCATTAAACAAAGTTGTACCTAACACGTTGTCTTTAATGTTGAGTAATAGATTCGTTATGAAATCAATGTGCTCTGATATTTAGACTAAATGGACTAAATTGTTATCGTTAACTTCAGATACTGTGTAAACTTCCGATACTGAGTAAACTTTCAATTATAAAGATGAAATACAAGAAAAAGCAAAACTTCAAAAAGTTCCCTGATCTTTCAAGACATAAATAAATTTCTTAAGATTTCCAGATTTTTCCAAGTAGTGAACACCCTTTGCAGGAGGGTAAAGCTCGATCGGTTTGGCTTCTGAGTTTGGCTCATATATATTTTAATATCCTCGGATCCGAGACGCTAATAATAACGTTACTTGATTAATAATATCTTTTATATTTAGACTTTCGTAAGTGATTCGGGAATGCGGGTTCGAAAATTATCCATAGAGCGTGTTTTAATCTGACGCCAACAATACGCATGTTGCTCAAGCACGAGTTTGCTTCCTTCGCGGTCGATACGATTTTACCTCGTCGGGCAGCCCGCTGTTTATTCGCCCACGCAAAGACGACTGGATTTCGTCGTTGGTGGGACCGACAGGCTCTTCGAATATCGCGCGAACTCTCGGCATGCGAATGCAAGAAGCTTGAAATCTGAATATCGCAGATCTCGTTTTAGCGCCACGAGACAGGAAATATATTACGCACGAATGCGCGCGAAACGGTTACGGTGCGATTTTTTTATCATCGGAATTTAACGAATATTCGAAATTAAAAGCGTTCTGCTGTCGACCTTTATCCTTCGGCCTGTTGCGAATCGCCGCTGTAAAGAGCCATAATCGAATCTTCCGGTGTTATAAAATGGGTCGGAGCGGCGTTCTCTCGCGCCGCCGATACCTGGAGCCCGGTCACCTGCGAGCTCAGCCTGCGGGTTCGGATAAACCAATCAATAATTGATTCGTGCATGGATGCACGACGCGTAATGGAGTTAGGTAAATCAATGGCGTTTTAATCGAATGCATGCCACTCGGCGCGATGCCGCGATCCGCCAATTAATCGCCCGATCTCCGCGGCCGGGATCGATCGGATCGGATCGGACGAGCCCTCGAGTCCGCCCTGGCATCTCGCAAATGCGCAAATGGTTCACGCTTGCGGAGGCGGCGGCTAATTTTCCCGAGGCTAACTGTATTTCCGTTAAAAAATAAAATGAAAAAAAAAAAAAAAAAGTGAGAGAGACAGAGAAACGCCTCGGGGTTGCACGCGGCCCTTTAATTACGCCGCGAACGCGGTCAAGCCGATAGCACGCGTGCCACGCGGATATGCGAATGACACCGCGCCGTCTCGTGCTCGTTAATATTTCACTTCCGGCGTACTGTCTCGCGCGAGTACCGGGTGCACGTCAGCCGTGGGCGCGCTGTCTAAAAATAGGATATAGATCTGCGCGGATATAAACTCCGGGAGGAGTTCGGGAGACGCGAGCAGCGTCCCGCGCGCGTGTCCGGCGTGTCGCAAACAAATCTCGCGCCGAACGAATTCGTTAACGGAGGCGGGGGGGGAAAGAGGAAAGGAGGAAAGCCCGAAGGGAGCGAGGGGAAGGCACAGGGCGGGTTTCGCGGGAGATTGCCCATCGATTCTGGATAATCCTCTTGAATTTCCCCCCCTCCCCCTCCTCGAGGATTTTCCCCGCGCGATGCGAGGGATAAAATTTCACGATTCCTCGCCGTGTAATCCTCGTTAAACACGCGTCGTACTTCACGTCGGACGGCGCGTTCGGTGCTAAATTCATGACGTACCAGCTTTCGCGACGGGAGGAGAGCGAGGAAACTCGACGCGGAGAGAACGGAGAGAGGAAAATCGGGTGATGGCGAGAGACAAAGAGAATAGGTGAGACTAGCGTACGACTGGAAGGGATCACATGTTCGTGAAAAGATCGCGCAAAAGGGAGAGGAGGAGGAGGAGAAGGAGGCAGGGGGCAGGAGGGGAAGGGGAGAAAAGGGTAACTGCGAGGGTTGGGGGATGGCGCAGGAAGGACGAACCGACAATATGGCCGCCGGCGAGCGAGAGAAGCGCCGCCTGGAAACATTTTTCTATTCCCGCCGTGAAGCAGTTTTCGAGCCATCGTTTCGTTCTCGACGATTGCCGATCCCGCTTAGGTTAGATCTGTTTGAATCTCGATCTTTCGACCGGTCGAAGTTTTGTAATCGATACGACGCCATTTGAATTGTAAATCCGGGCGAAAAGAAAAAAAAAATAACGCACGGCTGTTGCTGCTCCTGCGAACGATATCTTTTTCTTTTACAGAGAAGCGATCTACTACTGGGAACATAATAATTTTTCAGCGACCTGGCCTGTCTGCCGATTAAAAGTTTAATATGTCGATGCCTGAAAATAATCTTTTCCTTTTCGCAAATCTTGGATCTTAATTAAAGCGCAAAGAGGAAAACGATTTTAAACGAGGAGTCACGATCAAATATAAGAAAGAAAATTCGTCTTCGTGGAGATAATAATTGTAGAAATAAATTCACGTTTATAATAAAATATTTTTTAGTGATTATCACATTTTTACATTTGTCGTTTTTCTCATCTTTAAAAAGAATCCAAGTATTTTAGTCAAATCGTTAAAACATTTCCATTACTAAAAACAAAAAGCTCAATTGTATTTAAAAACGACGTTAAATAAAGTGAAATGAGAAACGGACAGATTGGACGCAAGCAAATCTCTGTTAGCTTTCAGGACCACTTCAAGATGTAAAATACATAACTGACATAAAGATATATTGTCTATTACTATTTAAAAAAAAAAGAAATAAAATAATCATTAAAAAGTAGAGGATTCGAGTGATATTTGATTCGCGCACAAGCAATACGACTCGGGAACCCATATATCTTGGGAGATCGATCGTCCAAAACTCATATAGATCGAGAAGTGTCGAGATCGCGCAACGCGATCGAGAAAAAAAAAGCATATTACACGATCGTAGAAAACGAGCCGTGGAGTTTCGCGGCGATGTGTGTGCGCTTGACCTGCCCTCGCTCACCATTTTACCAGCCATTGTTGCCACCATCCGGGACGAAAAATTGCGTATGCACAGATTATATATGCCCGATGAATCTCAGACGATTTAACGGAAATTCGATGATGCGAACGATGTTTCCGATTCACATTCCTTCCCGAAATAGGGCGTAAAGCCAAGAATCCGCGTCGGATCGCCCATCTTCCTCCTCCGCGAGAATGTAACTTTTTTTGGTTAAGTACGACGGATGACGGATTCGATCGTTCTTCGGGACGATTTCTTTAACTTTCAGGCGTTTTTCCCGATCTAGGAATGAGGAGAAGCGAACGATGATGCGACTCGCGTCTCTGGACACCGCCAGGACGAGGGAAACGCGAGCGTCGACGAGAAACGACAACGATCGACTGCGACGATCGTCATCACCGATGGAGCCGAAGATCCTCGTTGGTAATCGCGGAATCGCGATTTCGCGGCGTATTCTCACGTGCGAAGACCCCGCCGTATCGACAGTTCAAGCCATAGTCCGAAAAAGCGTCGCTTACCTTAATGTGACAGGAATACAGAAGCTTGCTCGTAGCTCGGATGTAAACACAGGCATTTTTCGATGGAAATGACACTGAGGCAGTCGGAACGACGTGCGTCTGAACGCCGTTTACATCGCGGCCGACGCCGATGCGCTGCGCGGGCCGATCCTGCGTTATTAAATACCGCGGTAAACACGGGAATTCAGTCTCTCCGCGGAAAACATCAATCGAAAACTAGAGATGGCAGCCATTACTTCTGTACAAAACAAAGGTTCACATCCACGGACTCGCGAGCGAGCGAGCCTCGAACCCAGCGCGCTTCGGCGCTCGCAGTGCGCCGCGCAATTCAAACGCGGTTCGGCACGCACGCGATCTCGGCATCAAGGCCGTTCGTTCTGATCGTCTTCTTGTCCGCGATCGCACAATTCGAAAATCTGCGATACGATGGATCACTTCGAAATAGCGAGACGAGACGATCGAATCAATTGAATCATTCGCGTACGGCTCCGCCGGACGACAGACGCCTCAGCTGGACCGTAGTAGTCACGGTCACGGTGAGATGTCGCGGCGCGCGCGTGCCGCGCCATCTACCGACGAGCGCAGCAAGCGCCGAACGCCAAGCGTTGCCAACGTTAGGAAGCTGAATTGCGGCCGCGCTGCGCCGCGCCGAGCCGAGGCGAGCTGGGCCGAATCGAGCCGAGCGAGCCGACGGCTTCGGCCGGATTCGGCGCGTGAACCGAAAGGCCGCGACGACACGGATTCTCCGGCGATTTGAGACTTCGAGAGTCGCGCGGCGTTCATGGCGGTTATTTTATTGTCGTTCCACGAAATGTCACGCTCGCCGTGACAACGACAGTGGCTGGAAAGGAAGGACATTGGCGTACATATGTTATGAGCATTCTAATGTTGGCACTATCTGTTGCTACACCCGAGAGACCAGCGACGATCATCGCTGTCGCTTATTGATTTCTCCGCTACATAGATATATATCCCTCGCATAAATATCGCAAGACGACCATGTGCCGACGCGATTGAGCAGGTATCGTCATCGATATCGAAAGCTTTTGTGTTGATGGCATGACGCGATAAATCGTGAAAGAAAATCTACGTAAGAAAAAAGAACATGGGATTATATGTGAGAGTTCTGAGCGAGAGAATGGAATGATATCGAAAAGAGAGAGAGAGAGAGAGAAAACAGGAAAATAAAATAATTCTCCGAAGGAACCTTGATAAAATTACGAATGAAAGAGACGAATGATTATACACGCCCACGTTTTTTGTGTGGATGAAATGTACTTTGCATGGTTGAAATGGCTCGATTTTGTTATGTGAAATGGAGCAGTTTAAATCCTTGACATACAGGTCTTATTTTTTTATAGCTAGATACACATACTTGTACTTAAAATAAAATAGAGATATGTTCAAGGTTTGGTTTTGAAAATCAAGAAATTTTAGTTGAATGCAGCAATAAAAAATAGGCCTATAATATATATAGGCCTATATCTGAGTATTATATAAATAGTTTAATAAAAATTCGATTTCTACTAATGTAGATTAATTTTGAGCTTGATTCAATGTCTATTTTTATCAAATTTTTATCAAATTTTAAATTAATTTTAATTCTATTCTTTATCTTTTTGATTTCTAGAACTAATGTCTATTTCTGTATATTAATGTGGATTAATATTAGTTCAATTTATCTTTTGTTTTTTTTTCTAGAAAAAAAAAGATAGGGAGTAAGTTGAACCTAAGTAAGTTAAAAATCTGTACATTAAAAAAAATGGACAAAAAAGATAAAAAAATTAGTCATCGAAATTAATCTATATTGATAGAAATGAACATCAGATACATATGCCTTTTTGAAAAACATACATTGCTCCATTTTACCATAATAAATTATATATTCCTGCGGTAGATGAGAATTGATTCGTTTTTTTCGCATTTTTATAGAAATGGCAGATACAGATCCACAATTTAAACGTCTCTTACTGCCAGCGGAGGAGACTCTGTTCGAACAGTTGCTGAGATTCGGTCTCTATGTGGGTGCAGTGTTTCAGATTATATGCTTGTTATCCATAGTTATTTATCAGGGCGGTCCTTCCGATGGTGTGGCTGCTTTGAAGGTATTTATCTAGCCATTACAGCTTGTCTTCTTATGATAGACAGTCCATTGTAATGATTGTTTTAATTGCAGGATGATCCAAGCGATGTAGAATGTTCCGAAAATAGTCCTCAAGTGACGCCGAGGAGACCTCACCGGCCACGAAAACAAGAGAAGAAAAAGAGACGTTGAAACTTTTGCTATATGATTATTTGATATAACTTCATAATCATTCAAAGACTGGCCTTTCGAAATAATTCCTCAATTCGCATTCATCTAAGTTATCTATCGAATAGACCTTTTATAACGTACAATTAATTTTTTTTCTGAAATATATATTTTTAATTTCACCTTTCAAGTATGAAGCTGTCTCTGTTTTAACCTCAACTATGAAAGTATTTTTTGTATCTAATATTTCAAAGGAAAGAAGAAATAGTTTTATTGACTCTTCTATAATGAGATTCGCAGTTAGTGATGGATTTTTCGAATAAAAATAACTCGAGAAAAAAAATATTTTTACAAGTATAAATTTGTTGGAGCATTTTATATATAAAAAAAGGCGAGTTTTTTGATAGATTGAATAATCACATTATACGCAAATGTTACTTTTACAGAGCAAAATTGCATTTATGTATAATGTGATTCAATCAATGAATGAAAAAAACTCGCTTAAAATTACAATATAACCTCTCAATCAAGAAAAGCTGGGGTATTCTCAGGGATGTATTTATGCGATGTATTTACATTGAATTAACGAAAAGTGCAAACGCAATTTGATTAACGTAATTAGAGCGATTGGAGCTTTATTATTTTTAATAACCCATCAAGAATGCTGCACAATTCGGTGACATTGTCGCCTCAGGATATAGTAAACGAGGTTAGAAAGTTTATATCTGGTGCCATCAGGCCTTCGCATAGCACGAACACGCAAGATGTGACTCGCACGGCATTATTCTTGCTGAAAAATGTACCTGCAGCGAGGGATGCCGTACTCGAGTACTTCTGTAATGTGTTTTTCGTCGCGGTGACGAAATATGTACGCCAAATCGAGGTAAGCTCTATGTCTTCCTTCATCTTTATACAGTGTTTAATAAATAAAATATATTTGTTATAATAACTGATGGATTACAATCTAGACGAATCAGAATATACCGATACCTGAAGAAACCATCATAGCAGAGATCCATATCATTCTGAGTAACTTCATCAATGGAAATCCAGAAGCCTGGGCACCTATCATATCGGCATGGTCATTGGACTTACTCGGTATATATTTTATTCACAAGTATATACGTTTTTATAATGTAAATACGTTTTATAATGTACAGGGTACATTTCTCTTGCAGGCAAACTGTCGTCTGATTACTCGAAGCGTGGCAATTTGCCAGTCAGTGCTGGCATTAATGATTTTCTACAGCAATGGATGTCATGCCGTGCTACAAGAACTCTGATAGACATCACTGCGCAATGTTTACAATGTCTTATGCATTCCGACACGGAATCATGCATCAAAGCGTTGTTAGACACCAGTGTATTACATAGCCCATATTTTGATTGGGTAGTCGCTCATGTAGGGAGCTGCTTTCCAAACACTGTGATTACTAGAGTGTTATCGTGTGGACTGAAAGACTTCTGCGCCATGGGCTACGAGCATAATGTTAAGAATCCAAAGTTGAATTCTGTTGTCGGCATATTGGGACATTTAGCGGGTAGTCATTTTCAAGATATTCGAAAGGCGCTGTTAGACTTGTTTGAGGTAAATTCATTATACAAATTTTATTGACATGATATTGTTGTACCTATTGTTGTTTCCTACTTGAATATGTTATATAACATTTACAAATAAATACAAATAAATTTTTAGTGGAGCTTGGAAGAGGATGTTAATCTCGATGAAGACACCAAAAAACAGAAACTAGCTACAGTACCGTTTCTTCTGAATCTAGCCTCGCTTTCACAGACACTCTTGAAAGCAATAACCAGCGATGTGTTACAAATATGTATGTTTCTAATAGAAATTACATTAATAAGTTATTTCCTTGTCTCTCTCTCTCTCTCTCTCTCTCTCTCTCACATTCTCATTAAATATGCTGTAAAGTTTGTTATAGTGAGGCCAGACATCATACCGCGCCTAGCATTGTTTGCAGCAGATTGGTGTAAATACTTCAGTGATCAACCAGCGGCATTGATAGACTTGACAGTACACTTGATTCTAGGATGCGAGCAAGGCGCGTCGCAAATAATCAATATACTGCTAGACACAAGTCTAAACACAAGCAATGTCGGCTATCACAGCGTAAACGCGGCGCAAAATGTAAAAACCATTTGCCGGGAGATACTGGAGTTGATTCTGCAAGAGATCGATCTCTTACTGAGAACACAGTCTACTAATATCCTTCTGTTGAGTTCCATCAAGCAAGAGATATCATTGATAATGCCGATGCTGCTGAATCCCAATCCGTTGCGCGTACAAACGGCAGTCAGACTATTAAGTTTCCTCAGAAGTCAGAATCCAAATGTAGTTGTAACTATAGCATCATATGTGTTGATGAAGGCACAAACAACATTCCATCTCGCTGCCTTAGTACACCTTATTACTAATAACGTCGTGCAATTTGCCACGAATAAATCCGGGACGGAAAGTACCCTTGTTGGCTACGATTACTTTACACAAGTGTTGGAGCAAGCACTTAGAGAGATACATTATAAAAATGTTATAGATAAAGAAGACTCGAAACAGTTGTTCAAAAATCTTACGATAATGTTGAAGCAAGTATCTTATAATTTAAAATAAGTTATATATAAAAATAATTTAAAATAGTTAAGCATTCCATAATTTAATTTGACAATCTTTTTTCTATTTTATTTAGGTGGGAAAAATCAAACAAGGTGGCGATATTGCAGTCGCAGATGATTACCAGAGCCCTTAGAGTTAATTTACATCAAATATCTTCTTTATTGATGAAAAGTGAGGATTTCGACTTGACGAATGATATTGTTATTCTCCTGGATTTATTAAGCACACCCGAAAAAGATCATATTCTCGATGTGGAACTTATGTTGAAATTAACGAGAGCTGTCATACAATATTTCTTTTCATGCATTGCTCAAACTGGTAATTAGAAGTCTAAAATTGTTTTCTTTTTAAGTAAAAAACCTTGTAATACCATTTGTTCTTTTTTTTAGATATTATAAAAAAGGAACAAGGAGTAAAGATGGTATGTCATTTATTGAAGGATTTGACGTGTTATTCGACATCCGCGCGTGTATTGGCGCTCAGAGAGATATTAGGGAATAGTATTAATAACGAACAAGCTAAATATTTTGGTGCAAAGGAAAAATTTGTACCTCGTTTTGAAGAAATGTTACTGCTACATCAAAATCATAAACAGGTATAGCTTATAAAATAAATACATTTAAAACATGTAGATTACCTCTTGGATATATTCGAAATTTTTTGCAGTCCTCTTAATATGTGTGATCCATTTGATTTAACACATAAATATATAGAATTTAAATTTCATTTAGGTGACAAGCACTATGTTAGCGCAACGTCATTCATCAGTGTTTCATGCCGGTGTGATAGGACAAGGTCCACGAAGACCTCCGCTGGAAAATTTGATTGATAAAGAGATTATTAGTTTAAACAAAATGTTACTAATAGACGTCATAAAGGTACATAAGGACTTGATAAAGTTTATCATTTAATAGATCTACAAATATCAAATATTCTCACATTAAATTTGAATTATTTTCAGGCTTGTTGCAGTAATCAGGAATCGGATCGATATCTAATTAACTTGGATGCTCTGACGATGGTCAGTTTGTTGTTAGTTGAATTAGTATCCCCTGACGTTATGTACAATGGTCTTCCGTGGCCTGACGAGGAATTTACAAAGGTATTTACATAATAGAACAACATAACGATGTATTGAGAGTCATTTATCGTGAAATAAAATAATTTGATTACGGCAGGTCACAATAGAAAGGGACTTACAAATCCGTCGCAAATTTAAAGATGTACCTCTGTTATGGACGTTGTTAGAATTAACTGCCTGGTACAGACCAGCGTTAGCGTATTGCTCCGTTTTACTGAGAGGCATTACCGCGACCGTAATGGCTAATTGGAATACGGAGGAAGGCGTTTCGCTTGTCAATATAATGGCTCTCGGTCAATTATTACCACCGCCTCTGGCGAGTATTAGAGATATCCTACCTGTTTTACAACCTCACCAGGTACATTCTCGATTCTGTTGTTATACATTTGCTACCTCATATTACGTTCACATATTTGAATTTATGTAAACGACTCTAATTTACATTGCAGATAAATACAATAATGAGGGAGTGCCTGTGGGCGTACATGCGCGAAAATGTACCGTCTCCAGCATTATTTACGCGAAACGAAGGCACTAATATAGCTTGGAGAGATATCGATATGTCTGCGCCCAATGCACGCTTCACAGATACTCTTCGTCTAGTATTATTGGCAAATATTCACAAATTAGGATCTTTATATTCGACGTTATTTTATAAAGAAAATAAATAACATGCAATATATTTTTTAAACAAGATTAAAATTTTTTGTGTATAACTTGTAAATAATGTTAACCAAATAATAAATAATAATTGATAAATAATTTGAAAGTATGTTATTCATCCTTTCCCTACTTTAAAGTACTTATAATACACACACACACACACACACATATATATATATATATATATATATATATATATATATAGATACTTCTCATATAAAAGCTCTATGTGTTTTGATATAAGACTGATTATCAAAATACCTAGCTTAAACATGAGGAAATTAATTTGTATTATAATGTATTATAATATATACATGTGATTTAAAATTATAAATACTAAGATTAAATATTTTCACAGATTTCATGTATTAAACACCATTAACAATAAGTACATTTGGACACTTAGTTCTCTTCCTGTTACATTGATACCCTATAACAATAATTATAATTCATATATATCTTATAACAATCCTAAATATAAAGTAGAAAATGACAATCACACATTGTATAAAATAGGAAGTAATCTTTACTAATTTCTTGTATACATTCTGCTTTAAGTATGTAACGTATTACATAATACATGGATTCTTTTCTTTATGATATAATCGATAATTAATTCTTAATTAATAATATGGATAGAAATTTGTTCTACGATTCTTTCTCTTAGAAAATTCATTTAATGATTCGAGATGAGATTATGTATAGCAATAACAAAATGTAATGAAAGCGAGGAATGAAACAAGGAAGACAAAGAGAAAAAATATATATAGATATTTTAATATTTATAAAAGCACATTCTCTCTCCTAAATACATATGTAAGAAACAAAAATATCAATTTACTTTATATTATTATCGATACAGGAATGAATGGTACTTAAGATGAACGAACGCTGGTTCGAATTACTGCACGAATACCCTAGGTGGGTGCCTCGTCCTAACTGAAATGATTATTTCGTATAATCGTATGTAAAGTCGATTCAATTCATACAAACGTCACGATTTTATTATCGTACGCCATTGAGTCTTCACGCGGCTCCGCCTGCGTCAAATCGCAAGAGCTCAGAAATGCTAGTAAAAAATGTTGAAAATATTTAATTACTTTCTTACTATGTACACTGCTTGCTCGTTTGTACGAAAGATATTATATCTTGTATGCAAGCACGATGGTATATATACCGAGAAATCTTCCGCGCTTGCATTTGCGAGCATTAAATGTTATGTCCGTGTTCTTTATTAGTTCTCTACGCTCCGTCAATGTATCTTGCCTCAGTTGGTGCTTCGTATACCGTTTGACACAGCGTTTGATCGTTTGTATCTCTCTTTCATAACATTTAATGTAAAAATAAAGGGCACGCTCTTTTTTTTTTAATAACGAATGAATGAAGATCTCGTAAGTAATGTAAAATAATGTTATTTTCAAGATCTGAAAGTATATTGCGTGTCAATGGTCACGTTAATATATTCTTATATATATAAAAGAAGCACATATAGAAGATTTTTTTTAAGAAGTTATCGACAATATAATCTTTTGAGCAGAGCATCAACAATATACCAATGGTAAGTTAAATATGTGCGACTTTTTATATATAACAATGGGGAACTTTCGTCTGGCGCCGTAGTGTTTGTCTATCATTCTATGAGCTTTGACATACACACACAGCTGCCAATCCGACTCTCTTACTTTACAATAAATTATTACTCAGTTCTTCAGAATTAAAAAAGTTCACTTTTCAAGTCTATAGGTGAATTAAGTTTAGAAGAGTAACGTGCTCATGCCACCCATTTCACTTTGTTCCTTCACAAAGATCTCGAAGTATTGGTATATGATTGTGACAGCAAGTAAGATACCGGTACCGGAACCGATCGCGCCCAAGAAGTCCGCCAATACGGAAAGAGCTCCGATACATAGTCCACCGAATGCCGCGGCAGTCGGAATGTACCGATTCAGCTCGCGAATCATAGAATTATCTCTGTGGCCTCGCATTACCATCTGTTGTTCTCTTAATTGTTTAGCAACCTAAAAATTTAATATAATGCACCTAGTAAATTTTTATATCACATTGATTGATTCATGTTTTTTAGTTTAAATTATACTAACATCCTTCGCTGAGCTTCCGGAGACCTCGATCCACGTCTTAGAGAAGAAAGCGCACGAGCCGAGCATAAAGAGGATGTAGAGCACAGCGTGAACAGGATCTTGAACTATATGACCGACCGATTCTGGAGGTGATAAATAATAACATAATCCGCCGACTGGATATGATCTTGCGGGGCCTCCGCCACCGACGTCCGACCAAACGCCTAGTAAATTCACTATAAGATTTCCTTGAAATTTAACGGCCAGCATCTGAGAAATGACATATAAGTTGGACACCAAAGCCGACTGTAGGATAATTGGAATGTTACTGGTATAAAATAATTTGATCGGATAACTGCTGTACTGGCCGCGATATCTGGCGGACTTGATCGGAAGATCCACACGGAAGCCCTAAAAATAAAATATTTTTAGAATCCAACTATTCGTGTTTAATATTTTTTCGCTCGAGGATTAATATTAAGTATAAAAGATTAAATAATATAAATTTCAAAAATATTCTATATATCAACTTACTTGGAAGTAAATAACAATAGCAAATACTAGGATAGTGGCGAGAAGATTCATCAGATTTGGAAGATTCTGTCTGTAGAACGCTTCTCGGAGGGCTCGAACTTTATCCTGTCTGGTGGCTAGCAAATGAAACAGCGCAATTACAGCTCCCTCAAATTCCGTACCACGACCTGTTGGATACGCAAAAAAAACATTAATATATATTAAAACTTTTAAATATATAAATATTTCTATTATGTAATTCTTTTTTATGATAAGAGAAATTTTTTAAATAAAAAAGTTACCAGTGTTGACTGTAGCTGGCGAGAATGCTTTCCAGACGATAGTCTCGCAAATGTTGGTAGCGATAAACAGAGATATACCACTTCCTAATCCATATCCTTTTTGGAGAAGCTCGTCCAATAGTAATACAATAAGTCCGGCAACGAACAACTGAATGATAATCAGCAGACAAACGCCAGCTCCAATTTCAGTTGGATCTCCATACATTCCAGTCATTACATAAACAATGGCTTGCCCAACGGTAATAACCATGCCAAATACTGCATAAAGGAAAGGCAAATATTATGTATATGCATGTTTTAACAGCAACATATTAAAACTTATACTCTCTTACATTTTTGCGCGCCGTTGAATAATGCTCTATCTTTTGGTGTATCGCCGACCTCGATAATCTTTGCGCCATGAAGCAGTTGCATGATAAGACCAGAAGTAACGATTGGCGAAATACCTAACTCCATAAGGGTTCCTCTGTTTGATGCAAGTATCACACGAATCCAGTAAAATGGATCCGCACTGTCCGAGGACATAATACCGAACAAGGGAATCTGAGAATAACAGAATGACAAACTATTTTCTTTTGTAATATAATTTCAAATGACGTTAAGGTTCATTAACTCACCTGGCAGCATACTAAAAAGATAAACAACGTAATCGCCGTCCATAGCACTTTTTCTTTGAACTGGATCTAAAAGATAATAATCATAAAATATTGAGAAATCTTAAGATATTGCCAGGAGAAAAATATTCAGTAAATTTTTCTTTTTGAATCAGGAAAGAATCAATTCTGTAACATGTGTCATATAAACAGATGGTAAAGAGTATTTCATCTCATTTCGGAGTCACACGCGCCCAGGATAATCGGGACGGAATTTCGGAAAAACGGTACACGGAACTGTAAATAGAGAGAGACAGAAATAGACCGTACGGTCGGCGTGGGCCTTACCTTCCGTTGCGGCTTCGCTATTTCCGGCAGTATACTGCAGAACGGCTTTATCACTTCGAGAAATTTGACTGAAAGCAGAATGACAGAGGGGGATGATTCAACGTCGTCGACAGGTACGACGAACGCGCGTGGATTCGCGTCGTCAGCGCAATATGTTGCGCGAGAGGTTACGCGCGAGGTTGCGGTGAACGCGGATCCCGCGGGCTAAGATATTTTTCTGACTGTAAGCAGCATGCATACTCACATCCCATTTTGCCTGCGTCACGACACAACTGTCTTGAACACCGTGGAACGACTGGCCTTTTCTCAAAGGACCCGGAGAATCAACACCGTCGCGGAACAACCCCTCATCAAACACACGAACGCGGCCGCGTATGCACGACTGGCAAAGCGTAGCGAGTCGTGGCTTACCCCGCCGACACGTATCAATATGCCAGTGTCACGTGACCTGATGATGTTGGCCGGCACGCTTCCGCTCGCGGTTCCGTCATCTGTCGTCAGACGGCGTGGCGCGCCGCGTGGTGTCCGGTCGGTAACCACGTGGCATGTGCGCGCGTTTTTAAAGCCCAACTGTCAAATGACTATCGCGACGTCGACGAGTTAAAGTTCGTGTGTCACATCGCGGGTTGGAGAATTGTGAATTAAAAATTAGGATCAGAAGAAAATAAATTGTTAATGTAATGTTGAAATTAATCTGATTTCTAATTTACAATCTTCAAGCTCCGAGATGCGTTTGAAACTAATTATAATTCGTATTTTCATTTATTATTTTTTAAAATCGTATTTAATTTAAATTATATGTCAATAATTTATTTGCAAGAAATCGCATTTTATATTTTTGAATTATATTTTGTATTCATATTCTAAATGGAACACATGTAAAAAAATCAGATTGTTTTATAAATATTTAAAGTTTCGAAGTTCGTATAATATAACAGTTATCTAGAAGATATTTGTTAGAGTTTGTGTAGTGTAAGCAGCTTACAGCTAAATGTTGTACTGAGTATAAATTACATAATTTGCCGCTGTATTTCCCCGTTTTAGTTTTCGCTTGGTTAAATATCCGTATATTGGTCAAGGGCTCATATTTTATGCAGAGAAACGTACGACCAGTATAACAAACGACTTGTTACAATCGACTAATTTATCATTTTCGTTATCTTGTTTTTTTCATTTACATACGTGAACGAGCATATTTCTACGAACATATTCACTATTGATTGCTTCTATATATATCGATATATCATTCATCACTTATTGTTGGAGAGCTTTTATACATTCTTTACAAATTTATATCTAGTATTACGTTTCTTTTAGATTTTACAATTTGTTTTATTCTATCAAATAATTGACTAAATACTTTACGACAGGCATCAATTTTAATACGTGAGAAAATGTAAAATAATTAACATCAATTTAAACTTTGTCTTCTTTCTTTTTTCCAATATATACCGATTCATTGGACATGTGATGTCATGATTTAATATAATATTTATAAATAAATAAAAACTACAAAAGTCGATATTAAAATTATCAATATTAAAATTCAATATTGTGCCATATTCTGTTTATTCTGTTTCATTATTAGGTCTTAATATTTATAAATAATTTATAAATAACGTTTACTTAGATTATCTCTGTTAATGTTTTTGGAAGAAAATAACATAAATAACATCAAATTAACAGTATATATTTAAATATTATCTGCATAAAAATGTTTATATAACATATAAAACATTATTCTCACTTCGCGAAATTATGTACTTTGTCGTGAAAGTCTGAACACACATGTTTTCACTGTAATAAATTACTATAATAATCAGTATTCGCAATCATTTTCTGTCAAAGATTGTTATCATAACGGCGTAAGTAATATTGATCGCATTAAAAATATCTCATTTTCACGCGTCATTAAAAGACGCGACAGCCCGGTAAAAAATTTTGTATACAAGTACATATATAAATATATAGAAATATATAATTATATATGGAATGTTTAAATATATTCATAGTTTCTTTTGTAGAATTCTTATTTGATATAAGAAAAATAATAGTAATAATGAGAAAACAAAAAATTAAAAATATAATTTTCGCATTATTTTTTCACATATATTTTACATAATAGTAATAATAAGAAGACAAAAATTAAAAGAATAATTTCGCATAGTTTCTCTCCCAAAAAATTAAGTTTGAAGAAA